GGGGGGGGGGATAGGCTGGGGAGTCGCGAGAGTCGCGCCGTCACCCACCCTTCCGTGAAGCCAGACCCGAGAAGTTAAAGGATTCTCGCGAGAACCGAGTTCCCTCCCTTCTCTTCTTCCCCCGCAAACCAGCTGTAAGTGATTCCTTCTCGGAAGTAAGAGGGTTTTTATTTTGACAGAGAACCACAAATGGACTGATTCTGATAACTTGTTTTTATTATTCAGATTGCAAACAAGATAATACAATGCGTGAGCAATAAAATAATGTGTAAAAATACTAAAATTTGATTTTTAAGATGCGAAGTTACTTAACATAACATGATAACTAACCACTAACAAACTTGAAAATCACAGGTTGCAGTAAAGTGGGTAAAGTACAGAGGTACACAACAAGTTGTGCATGCATAAGGGTGACAGTCTACTTTAAAAAATAGATTTATTAAACAAGCATTTACAGAAAAATAATAAAATCTAATGACTGTGGGCAAACAAACAAGTATATTAACTGTTACTGTGACTAGTCCTAGGGAATATAAGAAAGTTTGCCAAAACTCTTTTAAGGTAGTATTTTGAAACAGAAAATGGTCTTTACATTTATCACATCAATCCTTAATAAAGCTATGGTTGGTCTATCACTAGATATAAAAACGCACACAAATAGAAAAAAGTACAAGGCATATAAAAGTTCTTTGGAAAAATTAATGGTAGAAAATGCGTTGTAAGAAAGTATAAAGACAAGTTTTGAAATATTAATAACGATGTTGTCTTCACTTCAAATTTAGGTGCATGAAAGCATGACAATAAATAACCCCAATGGCTGAGCATAGTTTTTATACAGCACTTGAACAAAAAGAACACCAAATTTTTAGGAAAGAAAAGTAAACATCATTTTTACAAAAAAAACAAACTTTGATGTTCTACACTTTCAACTGCCGGACAACATTAACATATGGCCACAATAAGATGTGTTTGCAACCCCACCTGGGCTTTGAGGTGTTAAGCTCACCTGGTTCAAGGGTCAAACTTTTGTTTACCAGTTTTAACCAGAAACTGATGTATTTAGATTTGCAGAGTGGTCAGACTAAACAGATACAAATTTGGAGACTTAATTATTTTGAGACTTGGAACAATTCGGTTTTGAGCATATTCGAATATCTAAAGCTCTTTTTAATGAAAGGGTGATTAACCTTAACATTTAAAGACACCGACAATAAAGGTACAATTAAGATCAATTTCAATTAAGAAATCTGCCTGGTTTTTAGGATCTAATGCTGTTTTCATACTGTATTTTTTAGGATATGTACATATTCCTTTAATTAATAGTTACATTTTTACAAAAGTCTTTGGAAAGTCAGCTATGGTGTGTAAATCCTGATCGAAGAGATCAAATTTATAAGTCAATCTGTAATCTGGTATCTGCAATTTTATCTATAAAAGTAAAATGACAGTACAAGTACAATTTTATAACAGCCAATAACACAAGAAAAACTGAGTCCTAAACTGAAAGTGGCAAAAACCACACAAAAGTAATATTCAATAGAAATGTAAAATAAAGTTTTGGTAAAGAGATTTTTTGGTATTATCCGTTATCAGACAGACAAGGCCAGACACAAAAATATTGCTACATCAAAATGAAAGTGTAGCTTCTTTGAAGCTGATACAAGACTGGTTAGCAAACCAATTCATCCATTCTTCCACATCACATACTCACATAGTACAGACATAACCAGCTTATGCCAAACTTCAAGATACTCTCTAAAATACTTCAACATAAAAATGTAAGTCACAACACGAGTACAATAGCAATGACAATAAAGATTGAGATCAGTATACCTATAAGGCTTCACATGAAAACAGAAACAAAACTATTGCTATTTTTTCAAATATAATGGGAGTAAGTTGAATGCAGGAGATTTTGATCCCCTAGAGTAAGGATGTTGCAGAAGTCAGCCAGCCTTCAATCCTCAGTACACATTCACAATGACCAGAAGATGAATGTGAGCAGTGAAAGAGTACCATGACTCTTGGTTTGTACAGAGATATTTACAATGATTTTCAGATAGATTCAATTAACTAACATTAACTTCCTATTTATCACACATTGGTCAAGACTTCAACTTACCACTAAATAAGTTTGTCTAACATAAGTAAAAAAATATCAAAATATGCCATTGTTATCCTAGAAGCTTACATTTCAGCTGCCTCCACTCTTCTTTACAACTTAGAGCAACAGAAATACATAATTGACTGGGATTCAGATGGATAGAATTAGCTTTGGTAGGTATTTTCAATTTAGTTCAAAAAATAATCCTATATTAGGTAGGTCTCAGTCAGAACATACCATCATGTATACCAATTGGAACTAGTACAAGAGTAAACAGAAGAGCATTCCTCAAAACTTTCTGCCAGTCAGATGGAACAAAGTATGGCATCAGTACTTTGGTGATTTCATGAGCCTGAAAATTAGATACATTATTTTTCAAAAGCGAAGACACACGTAGGTAGTTGAATAAAGAAAGTAATATTTTTGTCCTACCTCATGGGCAACACAAACATAAATGAATGATGTCACAATAGCATTTAAAGCTGGGTATCCAGATACTAAAACTAACACTCCATTAGCATCTGCCGCTAACCAGATGTGATACTGGCAAACATATAACTCCAACGATATTTTGCCAAACCAAGCAAAGAAAGTTGAGTAGCGGGTGCGCAGTATTCCAGAAATATTACGAAGCGTTATAAAACTGATGATCTGAAAAATATAACAAATTAAGAAAATGACACAACACCAATACAGAGAGTGAACTTTATAAAAAGAAGAAATTAGAGGAAAACATACAGGGATAAATGTAATATACGGATGTATCTCATTACACTCATCAGGATTATGACAAAGAATTGAAAACCCTATATATCCACCAAGACCGCAAAATGCTGCTAGAACTGCCAAAAGTGAGAGGCGTGGAGACATCAAATTGCTATGGTTTCTGTCATCTAGTAGCTGATGGCGTTGTGCAAGAAACAGACCCAGAGCATACATCATTCCGTACGATACACTGAAAACCAAAAATAACATGACCACCAATCCATTTAGATTTTTAGAGTAAGAGATTAAACCTAGGGTGAAGAGAGATTACCTATATCTGTCTAGCTTCCATCTACTCCACCACTCATGAATGTCATCATCAGTAGTAACAAATAGGGCTTTCCAAGGACGCGTCACAAATACTTTTTCAAAAAAGACCTGTTGGAGAGTGGTGATTGATAAAAACCTCTTAGCAGTAAACCCCACAGATTAACTTAAAAATATGCAAGATATTCATACTGTGGCGTTCTTACCTCAGACATATAAAGGATAGTAATTATACTTATGAGCCCCACAAATTTCAAAACAAGAGAAAGAAACTGAAGGGGGTTCCCATCAGATGACATAGCTGAAACTCTTGGTGGTAGGGCTAACCACACAAATATTGTCAACACCCACCATGATACGAGAGGAATGAAAAAGTAAAATTGATAGGGTCGATTCATGGCCAGACACAATACAATTGATAAAAAATTTAGCCGGAATAAAACCTGCAAATATTTTTAGAAAAGTTAGTAAACATTAACAGATAAAAGTAAGACAAACTAAAAGATTCAATCAAATCATTGTCTACATTATCCTACTTAAGCACTGTATCCTTAACATAGATAGATATTTACTAACCTGAAAGAATCGAACAATACCAGCTTCACCTCTTTGCCAAAAATAACAAAAATGTCCAAATCCAGAAAGAAATAAGTATGATGAAGCCAGCACACGAATGTGCATATAAATTGGCAAAACAACTTTAGCATTAGTCATATGGAAAATCATTACTGTAAGCTGCATCCAACCTGATAAAGTTTGGGAAAGTTTCAAAAACAGAGTTAACTTTCAAAATTGGCTATCCGTTTATTAACTTTGAACAAAATATTTGCTTCACACTACCTTTCCATTCATCAGTCTGCTCTCGGTGTAACACTTTGGTGTAGCGACTTTCCTCAGTAAAAAAAAGTCCCAAAACCACCATATATGCAAGAGGAAGCCAAAAACTCATGGGAGAATAATATTTGTTTTCCTTCATGAAGAAACTTGTTCTGTAACATGTTTTAAATTTAGTGGTGTAAAAAGGCTAAAGATATAAGATTATTTTTTTTCATAGTTAGATAGTAATTGAAATCAAAAAGAGTCCAATGAAAAATCCCTACCTGTCACATAAGTAGAAGAAAACCATTATCAGAAGTAGTTTTGATAAAGCAAAGAACATAGGAAGCAAGTCAAGGCCAGAGTTAGAGTTTAAAATAGGATTGCCACTTCCTGGTAAATCCAAATTTGTTGACAGAGGAGCATATTTAATGTTAGACTTGCAATAAACCCCTTTGTAAGATCGGTACAGCACCATGGCTATGGCAATGGACATACTGAAATAGAGATAAAGCCTCTGTTGTATTGCCAACCACACTACCATTAGTTGTAAAACCATGAGATAAGGCCGCCTTTCTCATGGCATAAAACAGCCATGCCATGCAAACTTACCAGACAAATAAGGAGGCATAAGTAACAACTTGCAATGAAGTATAAGGCTCTGCACTCCAACAGCAAGTGCCATCTTTAAAATTCATATGATCATTACAGTATGCATTAAGAAGAATTTGAGTAGTTTGTGAAAGGGTATGGTACCCAGGATAAGCTTCGCCAAAGCTTTCATCAAGACGTCCTTGAGCAAGCAGCCTTAAGCTCCACCAAACTTGAGCCCCACTATGTTCCAAAATCTGTTGACATCAGCATAAAAGCGCTATCTAATATGTTTGGCCATTGTCAGTTTGGTAAGCTCATATTTAATATAGTACAGAATCTTATTTATTACCTCAACAGCAGCCTTGTTCAACTGATCGATGTGCTTGTTAGATAATCGTTGAAGTGATCCTGTAGTATCTGGTTCCGTGGATTCCTTAATGGGGGGGATTGGAACCCAAAGAATCCTTGATTTACCTTCTCTTCTGAGAGACAGAGCCTAAGAACCATTTCATGAGTTAAGAGTAAAAACAAAATCTTGTATTAACAAGAGCCAGGCTAAATAATTACCTGTGCAAGTCTAGTAAGGTTGACAGCAAATTGGTTCAGTGAATGTTCAAAATTAATAGAACTTTTGATTGTCCATGATCCCATCCCAATGATTATTACATTAGGGTCACCTTCCTTCTGAAAAAATAAGAGTAGTGTAAAGCAATTTAAAAAAAGGAAATTACAACCACAATAAAAAGACTGGACAGTGTTATGTTATCTTCATACCACCCAATTCCTAATATGCTTTGTGACATTGTCCGTGAGGTAGGGCTGCCACATGTACTCTAAATGTAAGCCAAGCAAAGAATCATGAAATGCATGGTCACTTTGAGGCAACACATCAAGTGTTTGGTTTGACTTGGCTTGGGACCAAAAGGCAGCCTCTGACTTTTTGTGTCCTGCTAATTGGTGGAGCAAAGCACGATAATGAAGTTGTACTTGAGTGTCTCCAATGAAGACGAAGTGATTTCTTCTACCCCAGAATGAAAGGTAACGAAAACATCTCCGTGTATCCCTGGAAATTTTAAGCAGTTTATCACATCTCCAAACTCGTAACTACATTGTGGTCAAACATTAACAAAAGCAACCCATGGTACGATAAGAGGCTGTACGCACTTGACAGAGTACTGATGCATCATACATCCGTAGGGCTGCCATTCCATGTCCCCTTTATAACGCCCATCGGTCAATAGCCACTTACAGGAATCTATTCCTGAAACCAAATACACACATTAATATAAAATGGCATGAGTCAATTAAGCATGTGAAATGCCCTAGCAGGAAAACAGATTCCAGAAAAGATACCATGTGCGCAAATTCCCCCTTCAGTATTATAAAACTTAAGTTAAAAGAAAAAATTGAGATAAATAACGAAAACGTTTGTAGGTTACGTTTTCAAATGGGCGTAACCGCGCTTGTTAACTCACCGTAACGAACGTGAAGAATGCCATGGTAAAAGCAGAACCCAATGACCACAAGAAATGCGACAATTTTGGCATTTTTGGCATTAATTTGTCTGATAACATTCGCGGCTGTCCCTTCTTCATCGGCTTTAAATGACATGTTTACATGTTTTTCTCGGCATCGCTCGATCGGCATTTTATTATCTCCGGCATATTGCCAACATAGAAAACATAAAACACTGTCAGTAGTACTGACAACTGTCAAACACGTCCCAAACCACACGATCCAAACAAACTGATTGTTGTGTGTCTCCTGCGGCCGTGGGGATAGGTTACTTCATTAGTTAATATATCTGCTCTGCGTTATTGGAAGAAGGATGCGGCTCAGAGACTGGCTGTGTTCATCGCTCTCCCGGCGCGCTCAGGCCCTCGAACTCGAGGACGAAGCCCTCGCCCTGTGGCTCACCGCGAGGGACGGCCTGGTCAACATCGGCATCATAGTCTGCCTCTGCCACATCGTGGAGGTTTGGCAAGGGTCCGAGTTTTACTTCGATAACGCCGCCGTGGGGTCCCTCCTCACGAAGAGAATGTAAGCAACCCTGCCCGCCCTCTCCCAAAACGCCCATTCTTGAGGATCTTGGGGCCCGGAGCGATGTTTTTATTACATTTTCCGTGTGGTTCGGGGGTGAGGGTGTGGGGACGCACGCATCTCCCTACTTCTCACTCTATAAGTCTATAGGTGTACCCACACCCACAACGACAACGCAAAGAATGACAGCGCCTGCGACACGCTGGGTAGGCCAACCCGCCGAGCGGCTGTGTGAAGACGGGGGCCCACCCACAGCGCCCGGGTGCTGGAGCGTCGGCGTCACCCAGAGAACGTTTCTCGATCGACTATACCTCGCGTCAACTCGGGGTAGTGATATTGTGGTAGACACCTCCTTATGAAACCGCCTGATGGGATGACTGGTGGACAATTTGTACCATAGTCCGCCTGTGCATGGTCTTCCATCAGCCAGAAACGCGATATTGGTCAATGTCGTATTGACGTCGATTCAATGTTAATTAATAAGGCACTATTTCTGGCGGCACTCCCCACGTCTCGCCCTTGCCCAAGGAGAAGTTTGAGCCTCGACTGTCACCGTGACTTCAACGACGTTCCTCATTAACCATTAACCATCTGACACCCCCGCCGTCGCAGGTTCGCGCCGAGCAACACCTCTTCGCCCGAGGAGGAGCGGCAGATTGGCCTGCTGCTCCCGGACTACTCCGGCATCGCGACCATCCCCATGGTGTGGGACTGGCTGCACGCGTGCATCCTGCCCGCCTTCGCGACCCCCGCGCCGAGGGTCCTCGTCTCCAACCGGCTCCTGGGGGCGGTGCGCCTGAGGCAGGTCCGCGTCCGCTCTGGCACATGCAGCATGCGCGAGGTGAGTCACCCCTCCCCCTCCTTGCACCGCCGCCACCCTATGGCCTATGGCCCTCTACTCGACCTAATTATGCGCGCAGGTTTTCGACAGCGTGTTCGCCGAATGCTACGGGCCGTACACGTACGACAACGAGAACAAGGGGAGCTTCGGCTCGAGCAGCGGGCCGACGGCCACGGCCTGGGAGTGGAGCAGTCCTCAGAGCCTGGGAGGAGGCTACTTCTACGGGGAGGTGGAGACGTACGGCGGCGGGGGCTTCTACGCGGACCTGCCCAAGGATCACGACAAGGTGGGCAGGGCGCTCCCTCCGCCCCAGCTCGCAAGAGGCAGTGTGCTGGCCCTGACCCACGCTCCCGCCCTACCCCGCATGGCAGGCCGTCGCGCTGCTGGAAGAGCTCCGCGACGGGCGCTGGCTCGACGAGGCGACCCGCATGCTGTTCGTCGACATCAACCTCTACAACCCGGACCAGAACGTGTTCGTGCTCGTCAACCTGTACATCGAGATCCCCCCCACCGCCGGCCTGCTCCCCAGGTGCAGTCAGGAATGCGCGCCGCGCGACAAAGGCTCGTTTTCGTTGGCATTTGATACTTTTCGGCCACTCCGCCGAGCGCGTTATCGGCAGCTGGCTGGGCCGCTGATAAAGGGCGAGCGAGTGATGTGCGCGACGTCACTAGCGGCGGCTTTCCTTTTTTTTCGAGCGTAATTAATTGTCGAGTGCATTTGCTCAGACGCACTTGCCCCAGACACTTTGAGACATTGTCAGTGCGTTTTTTAAAAGCAGATAATGCATGTGACACTGAAACTAGTAAACAGGTGTAACTGCAAGGGAATGCTGGGGTGGGGCACGTGGGGCATGGGGCACTAACTAACTCTCAAGGGCACTTACTGCCAACAGGCTGGCAATAGCAGACTACCCTGCCTCAATCAGCCAACTGTCAGGGGCACTTACTACCAACAGGCTGGCAATAGCAGACCACCCTGTCTCACAATCAGCTAAGTTGAAACCGAAACCCCTTGACACCTACACGGACGGGACGGACGGGGGTAGAGATGGGACCGGTGGTATGGTAGCAGTGGGGCATCCAAAGTTTTAATACGCACAAATTGGGTGGTTTCGGGGGCAGAGGCATCTTGTCAAGATTATTTCTAAGAAGGCACGTTTATCTCTTTGGGGAGCTGAGCTGAATGGTTCCTGACGACTAAATAAGGTCGAATAAAGGCATACTTCCCCTCGGGAAGGTCTCAAACTTGTATCATCTGCTTTCATGATTTCTTTTTCAAGTTAGCGCCTTTTCCAGGGTGTCGGTGAACACACTCAAACTGCTCCAGGACGAGCACTGCCAGGTGACGTCACAGGTGCTGCTGCTGGTGTTGTCGCTATGGACCGGGTTGATGCAGGCCGCCGAGCTCGCCGCGTGCGGGTGGTGGGACTACGTGACCGGCATTGCGCACGACATGCACTTGACGGCCACCGTCGTAGGCGTCGTCGTCAGCATCATGGGCATCGTGAGAAAGTTAGACTCTCTGAGAACTCTGGGCACCTATGCACCCATACTATCTCCCTCTTCACCTCGTTCTGTCTTTCGCTATAACATACCTACATCTTGACGGGCAGCTGCCGCTCCCTGGACCCGGACTCGGACCGCGCCCTGGCGGCCCTGCGCTCCGACGAGTTCGTGGACCTGCTGACGGAGCGCTACAGCTACGACGAGTACCGCTACGTGGTGATCCTGCTGCTGTTCCTGTCCTGCGGCCGCTTGCTGTTCCTCAGCGACTTTGGACGCCACTCCAAGCTCACCTCCACGCTGTACCGCTCGCTGCCCAACATGGTGTCGTTCTCCTTCATGTTCGCCATCCTCATGTGCTCGTTCAGCATGCTGGCCTACCTCGTGTTCGGCACCGACCTCTACGTCTTCCGCACCTTTCGGAACTCTCTGTTCGTCCTCATTGAAGTCATCACCGGCCAGCTCGACTACCAGTCCTTGGCCACGACCAACCGCTTCCTCGGCCCGCTCTTCTACATGGCCTTCATCTTCTTCGTCGTGTTCGTGCTCTACAACATGTTCATCGTCATTCTCAACGACACGTACTACGTCGTTCGGGAGGAGGCGGCCGCAGCCGAGGAGGTCGAGATGTACGAGGTAGGGTTGGTTCGGTAGCGTGTGTCGGCGACATCTTGCAGTTGCTGCCGTGTGAATAACTCGGAGCTCTTACTTGCACCTGCAGGTGGCCCCGTTCATCAAGAACTGCCTGAGGAACCTTTGGGGTTGCCTCCACCTGCCCGTCACCCTGCCAAAGCGTCGGCGACCACCGCGGAAAGTGGTCCAAATGCGAACCCTCCGGACTCTCCTGCTGGACTGCAAAGTACCACGTAAGTACCGCACTTCACTGGCATTTATTCCCGCAGATAAACCACCTTTGCGAATCAGTGCTCCACATTCCACATACATCGTTTCTCTCCGACACTAACATATTACGTCCTCTGAGAATCATATCTCTGCCCGAAAGGGCAATAACTCCGGGAATCATGTGTACATCTGCCTACTAGATAAAGCAGGAGGAGATGGAGCGCGCTGTGGGCCAGCATAGGCGACCCGTGTCCCCGCTAAATTGCACCCTGCGGTCGAGCTGCTTCGGCTCCTGGTGTACCTCGGGCCGCCTTCGGCTCTCGAGCCGAACGCGGCCCGGGGCCGGTACGTCAAGTCGC